TGCACCTATGCTAACATTTGTTGAGTTCAAATAGAATACTGTTTTATGAACTAATTTCAATCTCCCACATCTATCTCCAGATTCAGGATTTGTTTTATCGTTCAGTGTCTACAAATTTTAATAATGGAAATAATAAATTCTTATAAAAATAATAATAATTTGTGTTTTGAGCGTTATATTTACGTTCTAAAACATACCGGTAAAAGTTGTATTACGTGGCGTTGTAGTAAATTTCAAAAGTCAAATGTCCAGGGAATATTTACACAAATATTGAAAAATCAAAAATACTTAATTGGAACACCTCATATTATATTATTTATTTATTTGATTTGTCTTTTTTTTCCGTTGATTATTTTTCTGATTATACCTCTCAATACCTACCACTCAGGTACTAACCTAACTTAACCTATATAACTGATGTGCGTTAGGTATCTTACCTTGTATTTTGGCGGACCAGAAGTGATAATAAGGCTCGTAAAATTAAGAGAAAAATACTCGTTTTATGGTATTTTGTCGCACTTGCACACTCTACGCAGTGTACCTGCAATGTTATAGTAATTACTAATTACTATTTAGTAAATATGAACTCGATGACACGAAAACGGTTTGATATAACAACGGCTGTTTTAAAACTTACAGACGAAAAATATAACAGTTACGAGTACTTGGCAATTTTACCTACCACGTATGTGTGGCAAACGCCGGAGGTTACAGCATGGTCGTCTGCATCAATACGGCAGACATGTATTATAATATACCTGTCGGCGAAAAACTCGGCAGAGTTAGTTGAACGACGAAAACGTTTACGGAAGGGGACGCAAAATCGGTTGGTATTGGATCAAGGCCGGAATGTCGTCACATTCCATTGGTTATGAGTTGTAACTTATGACTACAGACTAAACCGTATTGCCGTATGGACCTAGGTGGCTAGGTATTCCATATTTTCATTATATTATTGAACGCACTACCGATGGTAGTACTGGGTAAACTGAGGCCTCCGTGTCCTCCCCAATGATTATAGAAAAGTTTGGTTATTTATACGGTTCTACGGACTTCAACTGTTGTATAGGATTTATTGTACTTATATATAGTTATATATTCATAGTACCTACTTAATATTTAACAGGCAGACGCCCACCTGTTTATGTACAGGGTACATGACATAAATTACGTAGGTACAGTATCTATAGATTAAGATAGGTAACATAAGTATTTATGTAATAGGTATACATTATACCTGATAGTTCAATAATACATTTTAGACCAAATTATATTTAACGGGCACCCTGATTTTTAAATTTTACGGCCAACTGCTCCGGTCGCAAATCTTCGTTGTCAGGGATGAACGTTGAGTGCAATGGATATTTTAACTAATATATTGGCCATTGGGTGACAGAAATGTCGCCCAGAGAAAACTTTTTGTCGCCTAGTAGATGACATATTTAATTACTGGTAGACAACGATTTTTGTATATATGTCGATGTTTTTATTAAATAGTTTTATTTATTGGTTATTTATTTATGACATATATCATTTAATTTGAAAAATAATTATTGAGAATGAAAAACCCATGTTCACAGTAGCCGGTAGGTATCCGTAGAAATATAGAATAATACAATTCAAGAAAGCGCGGCAAGCGACAATGCGACATGTTACATCTGGACATCTGGTCGTCAGTCGTCCCGGCAAATATCTAAAAATTGATTGTTTTTGATTTTATTTTAGTCCTTGTTCCTACAAGCTATTAGCTAAATAATTATTTCACTTTGAACATTTAAACAGTTTAAAAATTGAAGCCTTCAAGGTACCTCCTACTACGTCATACGATAGGAGTATAGGACGACTTTCGTCACTTTCGGTGCCTAAGTATAAAATAATTTAAAATCTAATATTTTATAATTGGACTTATACTAAATAGTAAATAGTAAATACACTATACAGTACCTATTTTCAATAATAATAATATATTACAAAATACAATAATCCTAAATGAAATATATATACATGGCACTTGCATAATATATGACGTATAACGTATTACCATTGCTTATAAATACTAGTATTTATAATCAATAGTATTGGTGTAATATTATTAATATTCTGTGGATTTATATGAATAATTAATATAATAGCTATTATTATAAATAATTATTTATTAATTAATATAATGAATACTGAAAAGTTTTTTATAAGCTCATAATATGTTGATTTTGATAGTCAGCTTGACATTTTTTTTTTAATGTCGCCCAGTAATAATTCCTTAAAATTAAAAATATCCACTGGTTGAGTGAGTATATATCTACCCTTCGGGCTTCGAGTATAGAAGGTGAACCTAATGGGTGTAACATTGCCAGTTAAAGTATTACAAATAGTCTCTGAAGTCCAAAAAATATTTGACGACATTCAAGTAATAATTATTGTTACTTGAATACCAACCTCTCTTTAAAACGGATGACACGGGCTAACATATTATATTATCTTCGATACTTTTTGCGTTTTGTATATTAGTCAAAAGTTACCTATTAATATTTATTGTTATCGATTAGCCGGCCGCCGACAAAATGTGTTTGATCGTGGATACCTGCAGTCGGTAATAAGCAATAACCAATAAAAGTCCATAGGTCATAGAACATGCGGCATGTACATAAATAGTGTACCTACATAATATACGGTGTAAACGATAAAGAGGTAAACCTCGAACTATATTCGAGGACTCGAGGTCATTGCCCATCGGACCTCTTTTACAATGATCGTTTAGGTATTTATTAGTTTACTGCCAAGTCAAGCTGTGAGGATATCAGATTTGTTGGCTTTTCACGGAATCCTAGATGAAGTCTAAAAACTCACGACCTAATAAATAAATCACTATAATCGGATGGGGGGCCACGGCATTTATAATATTTATACCATAATTTTATATTTATCGGCTAAAATTCTTAAGGTCGTTCGACTGCTATAGTCGGCCGCGCGCGCTTTTCAGTATCACTGTTCCCCACTCTCCGCGATAACGGGCACGTCATCGTACTTAATGATTATTGTTATTATTATTGGCTATTGCCAGTCGGCAGTCAACTCGCAATTCGCAGACATTATCATTACCGTCCCGAGTGTTCGTACACGGTTAACACGTGCGTGCCGTCGTTCCACGGCTTACATATTTTCTCTATTATTTCGGATTTTCATTTTCCGCGCGGTAAAAACGCGACACCATTCGCCGTGTCCCGATCCTGATTAAACGTTTCCGATTCTTCGCACCTATACGTCCTGTTACAGCCTCGACGATAAGTCCATTTCAGATATCGAGTGACTGCAAAAGACTATTAATGTTTTAGAGGAGACCCGTAGGTATTCCCCGCGCATCCGGTTCAACGCTTTTTTCGCCGTTCCCGCACGTCGCAGGTGATATTATTGGTTGTACGGAAATATCGTATGCCGAACCGCATTCGTTCGTTTGGCTAATTTCTTTCTGTTCGGTAATCGGTGATCGCGCAGACCGCTCGACGGGTAAATATTCGATACGCGCGTGCACCAGAACCCGACGATGAGGTACAGTTTGAGCGACATGTTCGTCAAGACCATGCCAAGTTTGAAACTCGGTGATAAAAAGTGAGTAGAGCCACTAGTTCCGGAAATTCGTACGGCCTGTTGCCAGTAAAAGTTGTATACGTCTTGTATCAAGATTATTTGTGATCAAATCCATACCCAGGGCTCATGGACCACGGTTGCGACAGACGATAAAATAATTGTTATTTTATAGTTATTACGTCAGTCCTTTTTGATTTATATCGACTATTGAGGCAGCCTACCCTCCAGTGGCATCATTTCAGTTTTTATTAGACTAGGGTAATTTTTCACTACTTTTCCGACTCAACATTTTTTTCACTCAGAATCTCATAACATAGTGTCATTCGGTAAAGGGGGGGGGGGGGGGGGGTCGCGTGTGGTAAATGTGCCGACTTGATGTAAATACTAGTCCAAAAATCCCTCAAATTACGGCACTGCTACCCTCCTCTTATTTGCAGTTGTGTGTGTGCTGCCTATACTTTATGACAAAAAAAAAAAAAAATATTATTTATACATATTATACTCTAAAAATACAGCTGATCATTTTTCGTGCATGAATTGTGTGATGTAACGTTTTCTAATTCTAATTGCTAGTAATCATAAGTCATAACGGAGGATAACAGATTTAATTAGTTTAATTTGACAGTCAAATCATTTGTAATAATAATAATATATTATGTTGATTTCATCAAACATTTATTTAAATTATATATTATAACAATTTTTATTTTTATGATCCTATTATAACAATTTATTGAAACGCCTTGTTCGCTTCTTTATTGTCAAGAACCAATTGTTAGTGTTTTCATAGATGTGAATAACTCATTAATTTTTTGGCCTAAATTAATATCTCGTTTAAAAATTAAAAATCACGAAATAGATGATATATTTACTATATATGTAGGTATATTTTTTTATTAATGTTATGGAATATGAACTATAATTTATATTAGGTATTATCTATTTAGACTACAGTGTAGTTATCTACCATATTATTATTGGACATTGAGTAATACTTTATGGATATTATTAATATTTAGAGCCATGATATCTACATAATGATGATGACAATTATGATGATGATGATGGTGATAATAATAATAACAAATATAATATTTGATTGATAAGTAATAATGCGTATTGCTTTATGCTTACCTAATGTCCTAATTATTATTTACATTTAAAGTAATTATTTTATGAACAATTAATAATTATTATTAGGTATAGAAATGTATGGTTAAATAAAATGTTTAAAAATTTTGTTTACATTGATCAAATAGCAAATAATTGATATTGAAATATAGAATTATTATTTTACTGATAGTAAGATACATTTTTTATTGTTAATTAATTATTTGATTGAAAAATATATATATATTTTTATTTTTTATCGTATCTTTACATTAATTAATAGAATTATAATATTTTTTTTACAGTATGTTGTGCATTCAAGAAGAACTCGGAAACCTAAAAGACAAGGAACCAGTCAAAGAAAATGCTGTTGTGAACAATAAATTGGAATCTGATGTCTTAAAATCCAATGGCTGGTTTGATGGATGGTTAGGATGCTTAAAACCAATGTTGGGGGGAATCATGGGAAAAGGAAACAGTCATGATCTTAAGTCTTATCAAGGTAATTACAATTTTTTTTTAGTCATCAAAGTTGGCTAGCTTAAGAGTATGTTGTTTGAGCATTTCAATATTTACAAACAATCTTTTATTTTAAAATGTTCAGAACTTGCTTCAAAATTAAAATACCAAAAACGGCCTATGGATAATATTCTTACCTACATTTGATAATAGATTAATTCACTTTATAATTAAAATCAACAGAATAAAATGAAAAATGTGCCATTTCAGCAGGGCCGGATTGGCATGTATCGGCCCATTGAGATTTTCAATTCTAAGCGGCCCATTTATATATTCTGCAGAGGCCCAAAATTACGACTACAATTATTACGAGCTTATAGGTGGCCAATCGTATTTAAACATGAATTTATTTTCACTTACACTCACACGACCTGCCCAAACTTTAAGCGGCCCACCAAGGTTTTCTCGGTAGCTTCCCTAATCAATCCAGCCCTGCATTTCAGATTTAACGTACCTACTTTTAAATACATAATTCTTAAAACTGTCTTAATTTGTTATATATTTAATTGTATTTTATTAAAGCTTAAATAGTATATTGTTTTACTCAATTGCATACTATTATTAGGTAAAATGTATGATAATTTGTAATATTCTTAAAATTAGAGAAACCAAAAAATCTAACCATTATGGTGTTTTGTAGATAACTGGGATATTCCATTTGAATCGATTAGTGATTTACAATGGTTAGGTTCAGGAGCCCAAGGTGCTGTATTCAGTGGAAAATTAAAAAATGAAATTGTCGCAGTGAAAAAGGTGCGCGAACAAAAAGAAACTGACATCAGACACTTGAGAAAACTAAATCATCCCAACATAGTACAATTCAGGTGAGCATGCCATATTAATAATTAATTAGATACTAATAATAAATTATACAATTTAATTTTATCAGATGATTATTAATAAGTTTGTTTCTATTTTAGGGGTGTATGCACTCAAGCTCCATGTTACTGCATAGTGATGGAATATTGTCCATACGGACCACTTTATAATTTGCTTAGAGATGGTGAAGAAATACCACCCATGCGATTAGTATCCTGGGCCAAACAAATTGCATCTGGCATGTATTATCTACATGTTAACAAAATAATTCATAGAGATCTTAAAAGTCCCAAGTATGTAGATTGTAGAAACTGTATTTTAATTTGCTTAAAATTGTATTTTAACTTGTTTATTGTATCAAAAGTGTCTTGATTGGTCGTCAAGAAATGGTGAAAATCAGTGATTTTGGAACAAGCCGAGAGTGGAATGAGATAAGCACTAAAATGAGTTTTGCGGGAACTGTAGCCTGGATGGCTCCTGAAATCATTAGAAATGAACCCTGTTCAGAAAAAGTGGATATTTGGTAAATAATTTTAAAAATTGTTAGATGATTATTTTTTAATAAATTATTTAATTTTTGTTACATGTATTATATTTCAGGTCATTTGGTGTGGTTTTATGGGAACTTATGACTTGTGAAACACCATACAAAGATGTAGACTCATCAGCTATTATATGGGGTGTAGGGAGTAATTCTTTACATTTACCAATACCTTCATCATGTCCAGATGGTTTTAGATTGTTAATTAAACAATGTTGGGCAGCTAAACCACGTAACAGACCATCGTTTAAACACATAATGATGCATCTAGACATTGCTAGTTCCCAAGTGCTAGCGAGTACGCCTGATGAATACTTTAAAACACAGGTAAACTAATATATGAACTAATAATACCGATAGAAATATTATTTAATTAATAAACTATGTGCTAATTACAAATTATAAATAATAAAAATAAAATAATTTTTTAGGCACAATGGAAGAAAGAAATACAAATACATATGTTACAAATGCAGACTAATGGAAGTCATATCCCCAAATTTGAAGAAGATCTTATTAAAAAAAGAAAAAATGAGTTAAAACACGCACAAGACATTAGGGAGCATTATGAAAGAAAATTGGAACGCGCCAATAATCTTTACATGGAACTAAGTGCTGTGTTATTACAATTAGAACAACGAGAAAACGATTTAATTAGGTTAGTAATTTAAATTTTTAAACAATAATCTCCTTATGCCTACTGTAAATAATATATAAATTATTATGTTAGAAGAGAAAAACAAATGTCTAAAGTGTACAAAAAACGACTTATAAGACCTTTATTAAAAGCTCAAGATAAATTGAACAAACTGAATAAATCTGATTCAACTACCACATCACCATCATCACCAGAAAGACTTAGTCAACAATTTGACTCTGTATGTATTTATTGTCAATTGATAATATATTTTAATGTTTTCTGAATTAGAAGAAGTTTTATTTTGTTTTATATTTTTTTAATAGCAGTTAACCAAAGCTACACTTTATGCTCAAGTCAGTAGCAATTCAAACAAACCAGAATCAATTGCTGTTACACCAAAACAAAATCTACGGAAAACAAGACCTAGAAAAGCTCAAATCATATGCTCAATTGTAAAAAATAAAAAGGTTCAATCATCGAATAAATACTATTTAGTATATGCTTAAATAAATATTTAATTACAGTATGATACATCAAAAGAAACTAACTGGAAGAGTCACCAAATAAATAGCAATAAAGTCAATAGTGAAACCCAGACCGAAACTATTGATTCAGGACTTCAACAAGACATGCTCAATGGTAACATGTCTGATTCTGCTCATTCACAAGTAAGTAAAAAAATATAAAAATACCTATATTATTGTATAAGATGTTATTAATTAGTAATTATATATTTTATTGCATATTTAAAGGGTGAAGATAGTTCTTGTAGCAGTGGTGTAAGACTGAGTGACGATGAACATTTAGATAGGCTGGGCAGACAAGTAAATGAAATAATTAACAATAACAGACCTTCCAACATGACCGATTTATCAGATTATTATCAGGATACTGAACCTATTTCTAGTAACTTCAATCTTAGGAGAAAAAGGTAAAATACTCTTTTTTAATTTTACTTATGTAAATATATTAATTTATTTATTTTCAGTGCTGGTCGGCGTCCAATTGGACCTGGTTTACGAGTACGTCGATATAGAATGACACAATATTGTCAAGAGCCAAATGGAAATTCTTTCTCATTAAGTTCTTCAGCAGAAGTAAGAGATAATTATATACTTCCATCGTTTAACTAATTAAAGTTTTGTGGTTTTTATTCTTTACAGAAACATGATTTCTTAGAGGCTGAAAGTTCAACATCAGACTCTGACATGAAAGACATTGATCTAGATTCGAGTTTTTATAAAGTATCTAATCAGTTTCCAGTTTAATACCGTGTATAAAACCTTTTAATTGTGCTACGTCTACAATTTTTGATTTAATTATTTAATTATCATTTAATAATACCAGTCCAAACATTATATTTTTCTCATAACTATGTCAAATTTAATGTCAATGCTATCACATCCAAACTTCACAATTTTTATTTTATTTTTTTAAACTAACTTGCGTATCTTAATCTAACATTTTTGTTTTGTCATACAACTGTTTTATAATTACTATTATTAATTATTATTTTTGTTACTTTTTTTTTTTTAAAAAAAAATGTAATGTATTTCTAATGAAATATTCAAATATTGATTTTCCTTAATTATGTTAACAATATTTTGGATATTCTTAAAGTAACAAAAAATATCTGTGATTATATAAAACAACAAGAAAGAGCACTTATATAACAGCTTGCGATATTATTTTAGTGTGTCTAAATTAACTAAATTTGACATGCGCACATAATAATTCAATTTGTGACATATTTTTTAGACCAAAAAGGATGGAAAAATTAATATATTGCATAGCTTGTTATATAAGCAATCAAATCAATTGACGTACTATTGTTAATATTTGTACTGATTATAGGTAGTTGCTTAACAATTTTATGAGCAATAATTATTGATCTCTTTTGCCATTTATAATAATGTGATGTAATTTAATTTAATTTGTAAACATACATGTTGTGTACTGTAGACTGACCTTATATTAAGGCAAATTATTGTTTAGGAAATTATTATATAATTTATATTTTTAGGCTTTGTCTCTTTATTTTGTATGCTGTATAGAAAAGAGATATAGTTTATAAAATACAAAATTTGGTTAAATAGAAAAGCATTGTTTGTTTTATATAAGTGTGTCTATATCTGAAAAGTACACTTATAAATGATTACTGTTGTAGTGTTGTACCCTGATAATAAATAGTGAATACATTATTTATTTTTCTCGAAGACTAATATATTATGATTCTTGTTAGAATTATAAATAGTATTTACTTTAATAATTAAAAAAAAATTAACTAATTTAGAACACTACTTTTTGTGTTATGAATGTAATATCAATACACAATTAAATATCATTAATACTAGATATTTTAAATATAACTCTAAAATTGTAACTAAGGACAATTTCTTATGAACCTTTAAGGTGTTGGTCAGAACAGACTAAATTGAAAACACTTATCTCAGGAAAGGTAAGTAACTGGTAAGTTAAACAGTTTACCATTGCACATATCTTTTGAATGATCTTCAGATTTATTGTTTTCCAAGTACTCTAATGTATTAGTATCTTTATCTTTATTTTTTTTTAAGGCGCCAACCCCCACCACTTATACGTCATAAACTACCTATAAAAAATAATTTCTTTTATAAATCTGTATAGAAGTTCAGAGTGTTTATAAATTAAAATCATTTTAAAAAAACATTAAAACATTTACTATGGATACATGTTTTCCCGCTGTACCTATATTGGCTACCTGGCTACATATAAATAGTTTGCACATTTTCGTGAATTTTACGTATTTTGTCAATATTTGAACTTTAAATGATTATAAAAAAAAATTTTGACTGGATTTTTAATACTGTCTTTAAAACGATATATCAGGATCCTTATGTTAAATTTTCAAGGTTTTTTACAAATCAATAAAAACTTTATTAATATTTATAGAATAAAAACTAAATAAATTAGAAACTGAAAATGTCCATCAAAGAGCTCAAAATATGATGGTGCAAGGAAAATGCTATTATATACATTCAGTCAAAATTGCATGTACCTATCTATGCTCTTGCTGTTTTGTTTTAGGGTTACACCAAAAACCAAAATCGATTTAGCGTAAAAATTCCCATTTTTCCTTAATTTGTCTTTTATTTTTCAAGGTGCTTTAGAAAACTACTGGGAAATTTTTACTTTAGTATTTTGTATTTTGTACATTTTTACATTCAGTCAAGAGTACATTTTAAGACTATGAGTCTTGATAACAACAAATTTTTATATTGTAATCAAAAGTAATAACTATAGTAAAATATAAAATTGTAAAATATACCCATGTTATCAAATTTCCAAAAATAATATTTTTAAAAAAGTTATTGCGCTCCAAATTAATTTAATCAAAAAAAATATTGATATTTTAAAAAATTCTCAAAAATAAACTACTTGACTTAGATAAATGTTTTTACCATCCAAATCGTTCTTATAATCAGATTCAAAAATTGGATATTTTGAGATAATTCAAAAAAATTTAAATCAATTATCAATTAAAATCAAAAATTTTATTCCAGTATATTAAAAAATAAAATAAATTATTTTTTTATTACACGTTTAACGAAAGTGGCTATTAATTATAAAAAAAAATATGTATTAAATTATAATAAATTATTATATATTATAAAAAGAACATTTTTGAAATATTGATTCGAACAAAAGTTATTCCAAAAGTCAGTTTTATCGGTTACACTCTGTATCAATATTTTTAAATATTTCGTTCAAATCTAAAGTGTTACCCGGCGAAAAGTATAGGCAAAATAGTTACATATTACTTAATAGTCATTACAATTTATAGATTTTCTTAGTTGAAACGAAGATGGCGTTTGGGTTATTCGTGCTCTCGTATTTTATACAATTCGCTTTTGGTAATACAATTATATGTTTCTACGTCAACCAGTTAGAAAATTGTCCGTGGAAATAAATATTGAATTTAAGTCTAAAAATTTACATTTAAGCTTTAAAATAACATGAAAACAAACTTACGCGTAAACACCGACTCTTCCGGTGAAACCTATATAGGTGTTTCATATCTAGGATCAGACATTCAGGTCTCCGCCGCCAAAGAAACAGATATTCCTATCTGTCTTCATCTCATTCCGAATTGAAACTTGAAAGTATCGAGATATTTTATAAAAATAACCTGAACGTAACAAAACTTAACGATATTTGTGAACATCGACAATTGGCAATTGCCATAGACGATATAACCACAGATTATATTATTAAACTATATAATATATTTATATTTATATTAAATATTCATATAATCTGTCATATAGCATTATAGCCATATAGCCACATAGCCATATAGGTAACTATATCTGGGGCTTGGGTCAAAAAAGGCCAATCTCACTTTTAATCACTTTATAGTAATCAAGAATAAAACATCTTTTTTTTTGAAAATTCATAGTAATTTTAGATTCTGAGTGAAACGATGAATGTATTGATTTTACAATGATGTGTGTTTTTTTTTTTATTTTTTTTTTTATTTTTTTATTTTTTTTGTGTCTGTGTACACGATAAGTAGTCGAAATAATGCTTCGATTTTCGACTTCAGTATCTTGTTCGATTGGAAAGTGAATATCGTTGGTGCATTGGGGAGGTCAAAATTTAAATTTCCCAGTAGTTTTCAAGAGCGCCGGGAAAAACAAAAGAAAAATTAAGGAAAAACGGGAATTTTTACGCAAAATCGATTTTTCAGAAAATTGAATTTGGTTTTTGGTGTAACATTAAAACAAATGACCGTAGGCACATGCAATTTTCACTGGTTGTTTATATTTGCATCTTCTATACACGATAACATTTTCAAAATATTTTGATTTATTTTGAACAGTTTAGGGACATTTTCATTTTTAGTTTTTTTTTAGTTTTTTTTCTAGAAATATCAATAAAATTTTATTTGTTGGTTGCGAAAGCTTGAAAATTTAATAGAAGGCTCCTAATATATTGTTTCAAAGGCAGATGAAAAATATTAAAAATCCTTAGTCACAATTTTTTTTTATAAGCATTTAAAGTTCAAAAATTGACAAAATATGGAAAAATCACGAAAATTAGCAAATTATTTTGAGTTAAGAATTCGTAAAAATTTTTCTTTTTAAATCTAAGATTTGAAAATCTAATACAAGATTACTCATAAGATTGCCTACCTTTATCAATAAAAAAATCTCTATAGGAAAGTCAAATTAAATTTTTATGAGCGTTTGAAATTCAAATTTTTACAACATTGGATATTCACTCGATTTCTCATGTGGCAATTTCCTTTTTTTGTTGTAATTAAAAAACGAATTACTGTAGATACATGAAAATTTCACTGAATGTTTATATTAGCATTTCCTATACACCATACAATTTTGAAAATATTTTGACTCTTTTTGAGCCGTTTACGGACATTTTCAGTTTTCAATTTTTTTAGTTTTTTTTTTCTATAAATATCAATTAAGTTTTATCTGTTGAGCCAAAAAGTGTAAAAATTTAATACAAGGCTCCTGATATATTGTTACAATATCAGTTGAAAAATATTAAAAATACATAGGCACAATTTTTTTTTATAAGCATTTTAACATCGAATTTTGACAGAATTTTTCAAAATCTCGAAAATTATTAATCATTGTAATTAATAAATTATAAAATGTTCAGTTTTTATAGCTAAGGATTGAAAATTTAAAACAAGATTCCACGTAAGTAGTTAATTCTCTTACCGAAAAATCTAAAAAATATACAATCACAGTTTATTTTTATAGTCATTTTATGTTCAAATTTGGACGAAATTACATATTAAAAAACCTAGTTATTTTGTTGTGATTATAATATAATATTATTCGTGGGTACCTACTTGAAACTTCTAAAGTGTACTATTATATATATATGATAGTATCAGGGTTTGTTGTTAATGTATAACGTGTTATAAGTACCTAATGGATATTGTGATAATGTGATATGATTAATTTGGAATTTATTATAGGTCAATTTTTTTTTAATACCATAGATATGTATATAATTTGTGTTAACCTAGACTGACATACCGTCTTCGCTCAGAATCGTTTTTCTTATACAATGATATTGTATCATTGAATTCAAATTTAATAGCATCAATTATACAGTGACCCACTTGTAACCTACTGTACAGCAGAGCGACATCCACTTACCCACCTTTTTTTTATTATTATTTATGTTTTTGGGATGGATTTAAATATAGTTTACCCTACATTTTAGAATACTCTGTGAATTTTTTAGTTAAATATTGAAGGTTTTCTATTTACATTGGTCCTATAAAATCATAATTTTATTTAAATAAAAATAGGGGCCAATGTTCACATAGGCCCCATAGATTTTGTCATTTTCATGACATTGGCCTTCTCATATCTCGCACTTATAATTATTGCCTATTGAGATACTCCCTTTTACCACTAGAAAAAGAGTATAAAGTTTTATAAATTATAAGATTGGCCATGTACCTAACTAATTTTCGCCAAAAAGTGAGACTGGCCCTTTTTGACCCAAGCCCCAGATATATACTCTATTCAGATTAAGAACATACCCGTCGGCCATAGCCAAAACCGGTTTTGCTACGGAAATCTGGTTTGATTATATTTAAACGGAATTGGGGCATAGTTGTTCTACCCAGTCGGGACGGAATTTGGACATCGTTTTTCCACCCCCGGGACGGAATTCGGACTTCAGTTTTGGAACCATAGGGGGTCCGGGGCAAAATTCGGTACCAGCCTCCACGCATATAAAACATACAAGTGTGTCTGTCGGGTAATTATATTATATTCATGATGATCGATGAAAACTTTTAAGTTTTGAACATCATAGGTGCAGTGTGCACCGAATATTAAATAAACGAATTGAACAAACTTTGAATCATATAGAATTGGTACATATTTTAAAGAGCAACGAAGTTAACGAGATCAGCTATAATATATACCTAGGTATATACAATTAATGCGTTTTTGAGTCCTTAAAATTTTTTTATTTTTTTTTTATTAAGAAAGACAATTAACAATCCGTACACAATAATAACAATAAGCAAATTAGATAAAAAAAAAAAGACAGAATAAAGTAACAAGAATATCGTGTTGAGGAAGAAACCCAATGGTAACTGCATCTCCTTTAGGTACACTAATTTAATAGGTCTCTACACTATTTAGTCTGCGTGGCGGGTTTTTTAGGAGGGTGAGGGAGGACATGTGTGATATCAAAGTGCGTGCTTAAATTTTGGTGGAAACGTTTGTACATTGTTTTGGATAGTTCAGTATTATTTGTTTTTTTTAAGTCGTTGTGTAAGGTAGAGTTTGAAACGTACCCGGGGGCTTTGGTTACTAACCTTAGCGCAATTGATTGAAAAGCCTGAATTGGCCTGATGTTCGAGTGCTTGGCTGGACCCCATATTGCTATTCCATAAGACCAGATTGGTCTTATGATTGACTTATATATAATAAGTTTCTTTTGGAGTGGTATTTTGGAGTTAAGGAGTGGTCGTCGGAGGAGGTGAAGTCTATTGCTCGCTGATTTTCTTTTTTCTTTTAGGTGGGGGGGGGGGCAGGTTAGTCTTTTATCAAATGTTATGTCTAAGTACTTTATTCCGGTTTGGACAGGGATGGGGACGTTGTTCATGATTAATGGAGGGCACTCACGGGGAGATTGTTTTAACGTGAAAGTAGGTAACTTCCACAGATTTTTCTGTATTAGTTTTAATTTTCCATTTTTTGGACCATTCGTCTATTTTATTAGCATGATCCTGGAGTGCAGCTTAAGCTAGGATAGGATATTTTGGACTGGAGGAAAGAATAGCTATTTCACCTGAAGTAACTTTTGCCCTATACTATCTATAGTTCTTAAAGGCATATTAAGCATAAGCACAGGCAACCAGAGCCCCCCCCCACACACACACACACACACACTTTCCTTGGCATGTTGCTTACTTGCTTCCTGGAAAGCAAATACTCTACACAACATGTATTTTTCAGTGGGTTGGGGAACCTAAAAAAGAATAGAGCACATCCATTTTGGGGACTAAAATAAAGTCTTGCTATCAGGATGGAATATACAGAATACGAGACCTTAACCTTAGCACCCCCCATACAAAAATTCCATATCCGCCACTGCAGCACTGCTTAAGCATACATTTAAGTAGTATAATAATATTACATTTATATTATATTCTCATTTCCAAGTATAGCTATCGATTATTGGATTATCAGGTCTATGGGTGGGCGGGTTTAGCGCATGACCACAGAATAACCAGAAGGTGCACTTAATGAGAACTCGAAAATCCGTGAAAAATGTTTGAGATATCAGTGTTGCCAGGTTTCGAAAATAATTACAAATTCTCTTTTGCTGCTGAAACTGAGTGGGCGCATTTTTAATGTTATCATTGTAAATATTTTATTTTTCAGTGATAAGTTATTGATATATGACATTGTTGATTGTTATTAATTGTTTCATGTTTGTTCGTTGAATCTGTGTTTGAAATTTCCGTTTCACATTGCTCAATTTGTTTTTTGTTCCGAGTTGTTTTTAACATTTTTAGTTTTTTTAATTGTAAACTACTACTAATTGTAAAACTGCAATGTATTCGGGTGGCCATTCCTGTTGTTTGGCGAATTGCAGCAGTATTGTCTTTGGAAAAAAACAAATTGAAACGAGCTTTCATAGATTTCCAAAGGATCAAGCAAGGTAAGAAATACCAAAAATGTACCAACCTATTTCTTGTAACTTCATTGTATTTGTATGTCCATCAAATTCATTGATGTTTATTTTCTATCATGCATTACAAATAATTGTTTTGGTACCCTCTACTAATAGTTTTAATTATTATAGATGTGCTGTCTGGATTGAAAAGTGTAAACCAATTAATTTACCAACTATTGACCCTGATATTCTGAATAGGAACCACAGATTGTGTTCACTTCATTTTGAAAATGAAATGTACGTAAATGTTGAAAAAACCAGATTATTTAATACAGCAATACCAACATTATTTAAAAGTAAGTCAATTAAATAAGGGGTAAATAAATCTTTATTTGTATTGTAAAACAATATTTTGTTCTTTTAGATGATTGTGTCGTTACAGAAGAAACATCAGATCATGTTGATGTTCCATCTGAATTTTTGGAAGATAACATCCAAACTGAAAATGTTATAATTGACAACCCGCCTAAATGTTCAACTCCTGGTATGTTGATTATATATAGATTTTATTGCTAGATATGATAACTTTTAGTTCCTTTATTAACTTATTATTTTAATCCACTATAATTTTATTTTTAGTGTCATCTACTCTTAATACTACATCAGTTTCGAGTTGTACATCAGTAGAATCGTTTTCCATAAGTATTCAAACTCCGAACTCATTATCTGCCAAAACTCCAAGGAAACGAGTACTTCAGGAACGACTGCAATTAGATTTTTAAATAGGTCTATGATGTCTGAAACAAAACGAAAAAATAGAAAACTATCTATTTTGAAACATTTGTAAATAATTATTAGATATTGTAAGAGATTATTACAAGATATTGTATTTTTAGTATTATGTATTAAAAAAAATTTTAATTAACATTGTGAACCTTCGACATACACATTTTGTAATTAATGATTTACTATGACAAAATAAATTATATTTATGTGACTATTAACAGTTAATGTGTTTTACTACTTAAAAGTTAAAGTTCAACTTTTTTTAGCTTAACTTAAAGTTCAACTTTTTTTTTTAATTTAACTGAAAAAATTGTTAATTATTAATATACAATAAAATGATATACAATATTTATTGTATCAATAAGTTTAATACGGGCTACAGATTATTCTGTGGTTGTACAATTTTTTATTATCTCTATACCGGCTACACTGATATCTCACAGGTGTTGCAAATCTATCCCCCATAAGAACCCGTGTAAATCAAAAAAAGTGCACCTTCTGGTTATTCTGTGGCATGACTGTAGTTAAGAGATAACAGTCATGCAATATCAAAGCTAACCTCAAACTTTAAAGCGGCATTGAAATCCTCAATTTTGTCTCCCTTAATTCCATCATTTCCATCATAATATATCAAATAATTATTTTTTTAGTTATTTAACAAATATTACTATATTAGTAATATACTTTAAAGTTAACATTTGTATTTCCTAATTTATATTCGAATGAATTAAATAGGTAATTTATCATTAAATTTGTTTAATTTGTTTGACGAATTTAACTATTTTTTTCATCTTATAAGACTTAATTAAAAACCAATAATGTTTTCGAAGTCACTGATCAATTTGTGCAGACAAGGATTAGGTTCTACAAAAATTGTGCAAAACGTTTTGTGTAAGTTCATGGTTATTCTACAGAAAAATATCTGTGTTTCTTTTGTAACATGGTGTCAGCATAATTCATATTACCTATGTAGTAAATAATTTGTCAAATTCTCAGATAATCTGGAAAATTCTTTCTAAGATTATAGAATATAATAATTATAAAATATAGTACAGTCCATATTTAATAATTAAAATTTTTATGTTATTTGAGAATTAATAATTCGCTAACATTTAGTTGTACTTACTAAATAATAATCAGATTTTACTAAAACATTTTTAGGCTGAATGATCCGTGTTTACAAAAAATGTTTGTTTAAATTGTACATTACTTAATATATCAGTTGTAATTGCACAGTAAGTGCTGAAAGTATGTCCTGATTTCCTAATGTTTATTTCTTTTGTTTTATACTAATTTTCAGAGTTCATAACAATATAGTAATAATTTATAAATAGTAGGGATATTATATACATTTAATTAAAACAAATTAAAGTAAGTTATAACTTATAAATTATTAAACACACGAGAAACATACTTGTAGACAAGTAAACTATAAATACAGTGAGTTCCGCTTAATGTGACTACTGGTTTAAAGAATCAACCGCTTATTGGAATCAAAAATGAAAATCCCAAACCAAATATTACATTGAAAAAAAGATGCTATATGGAATCTGTTGTACTTCTTTATTTATGATTTTATTAAAGTCCACCTGACTGATTGATTCTAATAATATTAGTAGCACATCACTAGTTAGTAATCTTAATTTAAATATTCAATACATTTTTATTATACTAATGCTTTGAAAATGTCAAAACTTAAATACCTCATACTTATTAGCTTCATAAATTGTATACAGTCTTAACTTAAAATAATAAGTCTTTAATGACTACCTAATAGATTAGTATTTAGTGACTAGTGTAATTTATTTTTTTCACCTAAGTTTTTATTTGATGTACCATATTTTTATTTAGGTAAACGTAATTTGTATGAGCGTGCAGCCATAGGATTGGATAAATATGAGTTCTTCCGAGAAAAAATTGAGAAACAGTTTTCTGATTCAGATAAACTGTTATTTCGAGAGCGTATGAATTCTTTTGCAGATCCTGAGTCTAGTAGTTTAATTTTTACTGAAGATTTAAAACAAATTGTACACATGGTAGGTGATAATGAAGCAGATTTAACACTAGTAGAAAAGATGATGAAGAAGTAAGTATTTTTTCCTTAATTTATTTAAAATGTATACATTTCAACTAAAATTATAATAATTATAGATATAATAAGCAAAACCAAGGATTAAGATTTGGAAATTTTACTTTTGGTCCAGTTGTGATGCGAATGTATTACCACCTCAATAAACCTGATATTGCGTTACAAGTAAAGATAAAATTTGATTATTATAAATTTATAAACACAAGGGAAAAAAACTTAATTGAAATTTTTTTTAGTTGTTCAATGACCCAGAAATGGATGGATTTTTTAATCATTTAAGTTCTTATCAAATACTCATGGACTTATTATTTATAAATGAACAATTTGATCAAATATTAGTTGTATATAAAACAATTCAAGAAAGACAGTTACAAATAGCCAAGTTTCCTAAAGGCGTGATGATGTTAGTTTTTGCTGCATGTTATAAATTGGTAAGATTTTTGTTTAAATATGTGTTTATATTTTGGTTTTCATTAAATGAGTGACCTACCTGAAGAAATTGATTTTAATATGTGACCTATGAATCACATAATTTTATACAGTATATTATTTAAATGTTGAAGATTGTTTTAGCTTATCCATTTCCAAAATTCTATCTTGGTATACATATCAGCTCTTATTACTATTATTTACTCCAAGTTAATATTTTATTGAGTTATGTTTTCTGCTGAAATAACTAAATAAAATTAATAATGTAGTAGGTATGTTACCATTTAGATTACAGGTAGATCACGTCATACATTGTATGAATATTACATTTTAAAATGATTTCCTATATCATTATATTTACCTAAATAAACCTGTTTATTTAATATAATATTTGAATACCTTAAAGTGGTTTTATTTAATGACTATACCAATATGTATTTTAAGTTCATAACGATAATGATTAAAATAATTAAAAAAAAAAAAAAAATGCCAATGATTTCTAATAATACATGTCATTTTATTTTAGAATACAACTGAAAGTTTTGAATATGCGTGTAAATTGTGGAGTGATCAACAAGAAGCTGGCCATAGTCCAATTAGAAAAACAATAACTTTTTTTGCGGCTAATGCGATAAATCAGAATAGTCCTCATATTGCTCTTGAAGTAATAACATCGGTCCGAAATCAATCGTATGTGACACTCCGTAATATAAAGGTGGTAGCATTGTGTGATTTGGGCCGAATTATCGATGCTTTGCCTCTTCTTAGAAGTGTATTGTCATTAGATCAACCAATGTCTGGTGGTCCTGCAGTAAAACAAACTTATTGTAGAGATGTTGTAAGTATTTGTCATAGCATTCAATTTTTGAGAAACTATAATTACTCATTTGTTTAGTATTTTATATTTATATATCAACATTTTTAGAAATATATTTTGCTTCTAAACAGGTATGAAATTAAAAAAATTTTAGGTAAACTACAATTAAAAGTACTGTTTAAATACTTCCAGCTATATGTACACATTTTTTTCTAAATCTTAAAATTGCAAAGACAAATAGTTGTGCAGCCAGTAATCCCTTTCATTGCTGCATATTTTTTTACAGAAAATTAATATATTATATTTTTTCCAACTTTTCAAGTCATCCAAAGGTATGGGTCAAAGTCAAAAATTAAAATTATTCAATATTGATATAGAACATCATATTTTATGACTTGGTCTCTGTGATATTTAAATTTGATAATATTTTATATAAAAGGGTTAATTAATTGGTATTTGTCAAAAAAAAAAAAAAATAGTTATAATGAACGTAAACAACTTTTTACCTTTGTAATGTAATAAATAGAAGTACTTAGGTACCAGTTGATGATTATTGGTCATTCTCCTTGCTTGACTATGTCCCACAGTACAGAATATAGTTAGCTTAGTGGTGTGTTGTTATATTACATATTTTGAATGTAATAATAAATCACATTCAAAAACAAAATGTGTATTTCTTGAAAACATTTATAGTTTAAAGCAACTATTTTGTTGATAGTACCTACCATTTAGACTTGAATTTCTAGACTCTTAAGTCGATCTTTTTATTCCTCCCCAATACTATTAAAGTTCAAAAAAAAATATAATTTTAACTTAATTAGTATATTTATTATTACATGATTCTTAAATGATAGTTATTTAATTATTGTTTATAATTAAATATTTAATAATAAGTAATTGATTCTTTAGTAGGTTGTAAAGTATTATTTAAAATCAATCCATACAATTTAAAGAATAAATTCATAAGAGTTTAGTGAAAATACATTAAAAAACATAAAAATTATACATGTAATTTTAGTTATGTTTAAAAATAAATATAAAATTCAAATAAAAGTATATTTTTGTCTTTATGGTAAATTGCCAAAGTTAACCTATTACTTGTTATGCTCTTCTGTGTATAAAAACCTATGACATGTTTACAATATTTTGCTTAATATAGTGAATACTATATTGAATTAACAGGTTATATTAAAAATATTTCATTTCTTTATATTTGATTAAAATGTTTTATTTAAAATTTATGTTTTTTATAGAATTCTAGATATTTGAGTAGTTTTAAATTGTTTAATACTATGTGTTAAATAATAAATTTATAGCTTTGAATGTGATTTAGATCAAAAAACATATTTCACTGATAGGTTAAATACATAAATAGAATAAAATTATAAAATTCACTTCATTGAGATGACCTTTTACTATTTATATATATAAAAAAAAAATGGTCAATTGAAATAAATTTAATTTTTAAATTGATGCACATAAAAGAAACTCGTACCGAACAAGTTTTCATTTAATTTACAAATAAATTTATTTTAATAGCTTTTAAAATATCATAATACTGCCGTTATAAGCAAAAACGCCGTAAGTCACCGGAGAACGGTTTTGAGAAAAACTCGTTTTTGTATTTTCATAAGATCACGGCGTTTAGGTTATTTGATTATTGATTGTATTATATGTTTGGAGTAATATTTCAGACATACGGCATATTCGTCTACACAAGCTGAATTTCACAATAATTTTTTTATTATAACCTCATTTTTTATTGTTTTGGGACTTACGGCGTTTTTGCTTATGACGGCAGAATACCTATGAAATAAAACTACAGAAATTTAAACTTTTTTTTTATTGTTTCTAATTAAATAGTAATAGTTTAAAATGGATTTGAATTTTATGTTTATTATTTTTTACATTAAAAAAAAAAAAGTATATTTTTCAAATTATCTTTGTAAAATACTTAAACAGTATAGTAATTTGGCAGAGTGTTATTGTTAGGGGGAGGGGATGTTACCTAATAAGTTATTTTGTTAGTCAGTAAACCTATTAAAACCTCCATTTATTTATAAATTTGTAATTATTATTATAAATTATAACAATTATTGTCAAATTTATAAAATGTATTATAACTTATAATCAAGATTTAAGATAGTAAATATTAAATTGTTCTTATAATATAAGTTCATAAATTTTTTATCCTACCAAATTTTTTTCTTTGAATTCACATTTGTTTAATAACGACAAATATTAATTTTATTAATAATTATTTATACTATTTTAGATAAATTTAGTGAAATCTGCAGCTGAAAAACATAATGATAAAGAAACATCATTGGAGCTGGAAAGAATATTTAACCAACTAGAAGAGTTAAATATGATTACTGAGACTGTAAGTAATAACATTTTATTTTTATTTTCTCAAAAACTATATATTTAATAATTATGACAATATTATTTTTTCTTCTCTAGACACTTGATTCGCTTCTATGTTCAGAAATTAAAATGATCGATAGATCAGATACCAACAACAGAGAATCAATAGTAGGGGCAAGCTATCAATCAGGCCGACCGTATAAAAAACGAGAATTTAGACGTCCTGGTATTAGTGATTTGCTGTAACTTGAATTGCATTTATGTAAATCATAAACTATTTTTTGTAGATTAATAATGTACTGTTTATGTAATAATTAAAAAATAATAAATTTTAGTTTTTTTTTTTATTGAAATATAAACATTTTGTTCACTTTATAATTATATAATATTCACATGAACATTTAATTACATATAGAATAAATATTCATACAAAATTTGTAAAATAAAAAAAAATTACAACATTAATTTGATTCAGCTTCTTGATACTAAAAACATTTTACTATTGGTCACTGTACTGTATAAGTTATGTTTACAAAAAATGGAATTTAGCAGAAAAACAATTTTATTAACTAATAGGTAAGTAAGTAGGTTATTGCTTTTCAGTTCCTTATTAATAACAATTTTTATTGAGGGCCTATTTAAATATTATTTTAACAATATGATGAATTAAAAAAATATAAATTAGTAAAAATAGTTTATGAATTATTCAGTAGCATCAGTTTTGCTGACTGGGTATGGCTCTGGAACGACGATGTGTCCACTATCAACAATTACAATATTGTCAACTGGTTTGTCTCTGGAATCAGTTTCTGTTGCTTCTGCTGCACGAATTGTTTTCTGAAAATAATTAAATCAATTATAACTAAATACCTATTCAAAATATTTCAAGTATTTATATATTTACCATTCCTTTGATAATTTTTCCAAATACAACATGACGACCGTCCAACCAGGAAGTTTGTTTAGTGGTAATGAAAAATTGAGATCCATTGGTGTCTTTTCCAGCATTGGCCATCGACAACCAGCCGGCACCGTAATGCTTCAGCTTAAAGTTTTCGTCTGCAAACTTTTCCCCAAAGATACTGCGGCCACCAGTACCGTCGCCTTTCGTAAAATCACCTCCTTGGATCATGAAGTCTTTGATGACTCTGTGAAATTTACTGCCCTTGTAACCTTCACCTTCTGGTTTCTTTGCTAACTCGATAAAATTCTGCGCTGTCTTAGGTACAGTTGCGCCGAACACTCCGATTTCCACACGTTGAGGTGCACTCGATCCCATTTTGATGTCAAACCACACCTATCAAAATAGAAAAAAAGGTTCACAATCATGTAGTGCTTTGTGTGCAGAGTTCATTGACGTGTCCGATTGTACTTACGATGTCAGTGACCTTAGGTCCTTTCTTCTGCGGGTCCTCCGACGCTTGGCTGTACATCACCACGAAAATTGTGAAAACCGTTAACGGTAGTATGGCCCATTTCAATAACGTCATGATTTTATAAGTAGATATCATACAACTTTAAAAAAAATGTATAATGGGTATTGCAACCGGAAGTCGAGCAGTGTACGCACAAGAGAAACACGTCGGCGACTAAGTTTGTCGGACCAACCAGTAACCAACAACTATGGCACTACTATAGAACAAGAATGGTCAATGGTGGGAAGTGCAGACGTGTAGAATGTAGATGTGGAGAGTGGACAAAAGAACACAACGATGATAAATCTTTATCAATTTTCTCGTACTATCGGGGAAATCATCGATAGTTTTTTGTTTTCGAAAACGATTTATATTCTATAGTGTTAATAATATTACATTAAAATTTAATCCAAGAAATAATTATTTGTCGTTTCCAATTTTTCATCATATTGTTTTCATGTATAGAAATAAAATAAAACAATCGCCGTTCATTAATATTATTCCGTGGAATTTTAGTTATAGTTTTTTCGGCTCGACGTCTTATGGCCGTTGTAATCAGTAATCACGAACTAAGATATACAGGACTGAACACTATTGGGCGGAGGGGGCGGGTGATGCGGTCAGAAAATCTTGCTCGTCGGTGCATTTGTGAATAAAGCGCCATCTATTAACATCAGTAGTAACTACAAAGTTCTACATTTATTTTAAGAATAAAATACAATTATGACATAGATTTTAGAGTACATTTTACTAGTCATCTTACTACATCTTAGTTAATGTATCTAAGCTGCTTAGTATATTATTTAGTAAAATATTTTAAAATTATAATATATTTATTTACAATGGGTCGATTATGTAGCGTGGAAAATACGTAATTGGAAAATAATATTTTAACAAAATTAAATTATATACATTTTATTGAGAAAAGCGGTTCATAATTATAAAGTGCACTTATTCCACTGACAAAATCGGCGGTGCAGAAAGTGCAAACGAGTGTTGCACTGCAATCAAATCGAATACAAAACACTCCGCCAGTTCACAAAATATTGGTCAAATCGAATACGTTTATGCACTCAGTGCAAAAAGTGCGTCAAATCGAAAACGCTATTAGTAAACCGACAGAGTGCGCCACATACACCAAGGTACACTTCAGCAAGAGTACCCGACCGCAATATCTAGAGTCGTTACCAGTCCTGTATATCTTAGTTCGTGGTTGTAATTCATACTATCTGCGATGTCAGCGAGTGAAACAAAATCGATAAAAAATTTTTCGTTTTTTTTTCACTGAAATCATAACAGGTTTAAGTGTCTGACGTCTGAAAAGAACCATAAGGTCACTTTAATAATTCAATATAACATTATATTCATTTTGATTACTAAGTTCTGTTGTAGTCGGATACTGGTATTCTTTCAAATTACTTGATAAATAATATTATTTCGTATTTTTGATAATAATTGTTGGAAATTATGTAACAGAATACAGAAATAAAGAACATTATTTATCTACCTATAGTCAAATGTACAACATAATATTGAAATAATGATAATTATTTATTATAGGTGGGAATTTAATAAAAATACATGAAACATTGTCAATTGTCATATGTCTTTATCACGAATTAATTAAATCTTAAGTCGTGGTCTCTTTTCACGACCAGTATACTTAATACTTATCTATGTTCACGACTTCACTATAGTCCAGGCAAATTAGACTCATTTTTGACAAATAGTGGAAAAAAAGCGGGAAAGCTGAATTTTGGTATACACCTTTATTGAAGGGTACTAAGTAACATACTAAAAGTCCCCTAAGATTTGATGACCGCTACCTCCGCTAGAGCGCGCTGTGTGCAAGAAAAATCAGTTTTTCTCAAATAACTCGGTTGTTATTAAGATTATAAGAAAAATACCTATATACTATATTATAGAAGAGGTAATTACCTATAAAAAATGTACTTACAATATATTTCGTGGGATCAATATTTACCTTGATAATCGGACATCAAATATTATAGAATTGGTAATTTCTAGATTATTTTTTTCTATATAAATTATTTCGATGTCGTGTTATTCAAATAGGACATAGGTACATTGCAGTGATGATGATACACCTACTACTAGTGTTCAACAACAACTAAAATTACATAAAAAAATTAAGATAATTATGTTATAAATAAAGTTTTGTTTAAATTAATAAATAAATAATATTTTGTTTGTCAAGCAGTAACCGAAATTGGGTCATCGCGATATTAACCAATATTAATTTTTATTATTATATACCTACCGGTTACCTCTATATGTAATAGATATTTTATGTTTAGATAATAATTATAAAACAATAAACCGCTCATTTATATAAAATTAATACAAAAAAAAACTGTGTTAGTCACAATTTATTACGGACGCCATAAGACAGAAATTACCAATTCTATAATATTTGATGTCCGATTATCAAGGTAAATATTGATCCCACGAAATATATTGTAAGTACATTTTTTATAGGTAATTACCTCTTCTATAATATAGTATATAGGTATTTTTCTTATAATCTTAATAACAACCGAGTTATTTGAGAAAAACTGATTTTTCTTGCACACAGCGCGCTCTAGCGGAGGTAGCGGTCATCAAATCTTAGGGAACTTTTAGTATGTTACTTAGTACCCTTCAATAAAGGTGTATACCAAAATTCAGCTTTCCTGCTTTTTTTTCCGCTATTTTATTAAATTTGCCTGGACTAAAATATGATAAAATATAATTGACATTGTCATTGTGTACTATGTAGGTATGTATACCAAGTACGAATTTATCGTAATTGGTCATAGTTATAGGGGAAGAAATTTGTTTATGTGTTTAAGGCACGAGTTAAGATATACCTATAGTATATCTTGATGCATGGTTTAAGGTGTATAGCTTTTCTGCTTATTGCATATTAGCTTCAAGCTTCCCTATTAGCTCACGCCCCTACTATACATATATATTATATAATATAATATTGTTAGGTACCTTTAAATAAGTACCCATGTGAAATATTTGTATACCTATTCTTACAATATTATAGTTAGGTACCTATATTAGTTATATCGTACTTTCGTACAGTGGTTGAATACTATTATAATATAATCATTTTATTTTCCAATTCTCAGTTCTCAATTTACTGTGCGTCTGTGTAGACTGCAAAGTAGGTAGGTACTATTACAGAGTGTCACAGCCGTTATTTTTATTTTTGAGTACGTACTACGTATGCGGTATACGTAAAAACGTGAGATTTTATTGTATACAATTATCAAAATGTTCAGTATATTCAAATTAAACAAAAAAAATCAAGTAGTGCTAAGAACGAAGACGACCCAAACAAATTATGGTTTATATTAAATTTTGGTTTAGCGGACTTTTTGTAACAACTAAATTTCAGTGAATCTTATAAGGCGGTGTGGGGGGTTTTTCCCCTCCCCCACGTGTTTTTTGCACTTTGGTTTTGTAGGACTCTAGCATTGGTAGTTGGTATACACACACTAATGATAATTTACTACACACAAAAAGACGATCAGTAATCGCATGAACAAAAAAATTGCCTAGGCACAACTCCTTGAAAAATGACACATTTGCAGGGGCCTTAATGGGTTTTTAATATATGGGGGCTAGGTAAATTGGAAATTGTATTCATTAATATTAATCCATCAACATTAATAATTTGTAAAAATGACACAAGTATAATAAAAAATACTAGTTTCAATATTCGTCTATTTTATATTTTTGTAAAACCATTTTTAAGGACTACCTACTATCCTTGATACAAACATTTTAATAACTAAGAAACTACATCGAAATTTTCAAAAAAAATATCCACTAAATAATTTATAGTAGAAAGGGGGGAGGGGGTTGTCGTTTGAATACAGTAGTACAACAATGGTACATTGGTACATTCATTAGTACAAAAGAACTCAAGAATTTGATAACATTTATTTAAAAACTGCATAAAAGTAGAAAATAGGTTATCGAGCTTCGCCAAATTGACTTTGACATTCACACTGTCCATGACTACCTCTCAATTCACCCAATTTTATAGAATCGAGTCACTAGGGCAGAGGTGAAAAAGTTTTGACCTACGTTTTATCCGAAGATTATTAGATGGATACATTGCGTCGAGTCTATTGCCTATTGGGACGACTATATTTTAATTTCACTTATCGTTATTCTTTTTTCTGATTTAAATTTAAAATAATATATTGATAATATTATAATTATTATTGTTAGATTTTTATATATGTCGCACAATTTCGATTTAATTGTTTCATGATTTTAATTAAATTCTGAACATAATTTTTCTCTTTTAGATTCTGAGTGAAACGATGGATGTATTGGTTTTACAATGATGAGTGTTTTTTTTTATTTTTTTTTTTTGTGTCTGTGTACACGATAAGTAGTCGAAATAATGCTTCGATTTTCGACTTCAGTATCTCTTGTTCGATTGGAATGTGAATATCGTTGGTGCATTGGGGAGGTCAAAATTTAAAATTCCCAATAGTTTTCACAAGCGCCGGGAAAAACAACATAAAAATTAAGGAAAAACGGGAATTTTTACGCTACGGTTTTTGACAAAATCGAATTTGGTTTTTGGTGTAACTTTAAAACAAATGACTGTAGGAACATGAAATTTTGACTGGTTGTTTATATTTGCCTTTTCTATACACGATAACATTTTCAAAATATTTTGATTTATTTTGAACTGTTAAGGGACATTTTCAGTTTCCAATTTTATTAGTTTTTTTTTTTATGAATATCAATAAAAATTTATTTGTTGAGTAAAAATACTTGAAAATTTAATATAAGGCTCCTACTATATTGTTTCAAAGACAGATGAAAAATATTAAAAATCGTTAGTCACAGTTTTTTTTTTAAGCATTTAAAGTTCAAAAAATGACAAAATATGGAAAAATCACGAAAATTTGCAAATTATTTCGAGTTAGAAATTCATAAAAAATTTTCTTTTTAAATCTAAGATATGAAAATGTAATACAAGATTCCTTATAAGATTTCCTACATTTATCAAAAAAAAAAAAAAATTCTATAAGAATGTCAAATTAAATTTTTATGAGCGTTTGAAATTCAAATTTTTACAACATTGGATATTCACTCGATTTCTCATGTGGCGATTTCCTTATTTTGTTGTAAAACCTAAACGAACAACTGTAAATACATGAAAATTTCACTGAATGTTTATATTAGCATTTCCTATACACCATACAATTTTAAAAATAAATTGACTCTTTTTGAGCCGTTTACGGACATTTTCAGTTTTCGATTTTTTTAGTTTTTTTTTTCTATAAATATCAATACCTGTTGGGCCAAAAAGTGTAAAAAATTAATACAAGGCTCCTGATATATTGTTACAATAGCAATTGAAAAATATTAAAAATACATAGGCACAATTTTTTTTTATAAGCATTTAAAGATCGCATTTTGACAAAATTTATCAAAATCTCGAAAATTATCAACCATCGTAATTAATAAATTATAAAATGTTCAGTTTTTATAGCTAAGGATTGAAAATTTAAAAAAAAGATTCTCATAAATAGTTCATACTGTAGCCAAAAAATCTAAAAAATATATGAGCACAGTTATTTTTTGCAGACATTTTAAGTTCAAATTTGGGACGAAATTACATATTAAAAAACTTAGCATACCTATTTTAGTTATTTTGTTGTGAGTGTATAATACTATTCGTGGGTACTTGAAACTTCTAAAGTACACTATATTATATATCTATGATAGTATCAGGGTTTGTTATTGATGTATAACGTGTTATAAGTACCTAATGGATATTGTGATATGATTAATTTGGAATTTATTATAGGTCAATTTTTTGTTTAATACCATAGATATGTATAATATGTCTTAAACCTAGACTGACATACCGTCTTCGCTCAGAATCGTTTTTCTTATACAATGATATTGTATCATTGAATTCAAATTTAATATCATCCATTATACAGTGACCCACTTGTAACCTACTGTACAGCAGAGCGACATCCACTTACCCACCTTTTTTAAATACGTATTCGAGTACTGTCTGTAAAGTATTTGAATATAAATATAACTACTGTAAAAGTACTTTTTTGTATATAAAAATATTTGTGTGGCTTGGTGTGGCGCAGTGCGTAAAAAAAAGCTAATAGTCCAAGTTTCCTTGCAAAAATTCAATAAAAAAAAAAAAAAATATTTATAAGTTTATCACAAATGTATAGGTACAAACATTTATTGATAAATATTTAAATTAAATAATTAATAAATACATCCTATAATTTGTTCAAGAATTTCAGATGTAAGTATTATTATACAATATACATACCTATTATAATGTAAAGTTAAGCAATAAGCATCAACAAGATAGATATGAATTTTAATTACTTATATTGTGTCACCGCCTGTGTGTATTTAATAAAATCTTAAAAATTCTTAGAAGCTATATAAAATATTATTTTTTGACAAATTGTTTTTTTTTATTTTTTAAGAAAATTTACAATCTGTACAATTTGCACAGTAAGTAAATATGATAACTGACATAATACTATATATACTGTATATACATACATATAAAATACATGTTTTGGGAAATCATCCAGCGATGGTACCCTCCAGCAAGACAAATAATTGTTAAAATTATAATATACATAACAAAATAATATTGTTCGTTGAAATACGACGGTAAAAATAAAAAAGTATTTAGTATTGTGGAATAAAACACAAAGAAAAAGTATTTTGAAAGTATTTAAAATACACTTATAATTGTCAAAAGGTATTTGAAATACTAATTCACTAATTACTACAGTATACAGCGCCGCATTACTTTAAACCATGTACACTGTGCAAACTGTCATATGGATTTCCATGGTAACCACTAACCAATAATGATTATTGATTATTAATAAATAGTTGCTTAATCGATTTTATGCATTGTAAGTCATAATAATATATTTTCCGAGTTTACACTTGTGTTAAACAACAATTACCTATAATGTTTCGAAAATTGGGATTGGTAATTTTTTTCTATGCATTCCTTAACACTGTCATGAATACTGAAGGTGGTTTGATAACTGACTTCAGAAAATTTCGTGAATATACCAACATAAGGTCAAATGATGCTGATGAAAAGAGTGTCCAGGGATTTCAACAATCAGAAAGTATGTGTTCATCATTAGTAGTTGCCAGTTGGCATATTTCATTATTTTTAGACCATTTCATTATTACTTCCTTTCAAACTTCTTTCATTAATTTGTAATAGAATTTGAAAATAATTAGTCACGATTTAATTTATTTCGATAAATCGCAGATCCGAAAGATCAAAGTATCCTTTTAAGTTTATACGAAATGTAGGTATAAAATATAGTTACGAGTATATTATGACAATCAAACGCTTTCGAGATAATACCGATTTCGTCATACTCTACAATAATTATAATTACAATGCACAAAGTAAAAAAAATACTTTTTTTATCTGACATTGATGAATTGTTAATTATCAAACCCTAATAGGTACCGGGTTGCATGTAAAAATAAGTAAAATGTATTAATAAAATGTAATGAACCAGTCATGGGCCACTAAATCATGTTTAATGGACCTTTGGTTCACTATTGATTTGTTAAGTGTTTAGTGACCCAGTGAAACAGTGTATTTTGGTGTTAAAAACCAGCGTAAGTGTATCAAATATTTTTCGATCATTATTCTTATAAAAGAGCAAAGTGGTCGTACAAAATACAAATGAATAGTTCATATTATTATCGAGAAATCACTATTTCAGATTGTTTAATGTTTATAAGTTATTACCGTCTTAAAATTACATATATAATTTTGTTAAGTTTATAATGGTTTTTGAAATATTAAACAGACACAGCCGAGCAGGATGATCCATTATTACAGCTGGTAAAAAACCTGAAGAAGAATCAACCGCCGAGATTCACTGGAAAAACATTGGGCATGACTATGACAACAGTTATTACGGGGGAGAAATCAAAACGTTCGAATGTGAATGGGTTTGAGGGCAAAAGAGAAAAAAGAAAATCGTTGATTAAGGTGACCGGACATGATGATCGGCCTGTCGAGGCAGCCAAGGTAAAGAGCACGGGTCCCAAACACATCAATGGTAAAGCTGGTGACAAAGGCCGATCTTCGTCAACCATCTGCGGTACCAGGAGGTCAGTGGCGACAATAACCCCGGTAGGTGATCAGACGGCGGACCCTAACCTTAAAATGACGCCGTTAGTGCCGTTCACGCCCCGGACCCGAACCCAACCACGACTGACATCCACAGACAGCAAGACGTGCACGACCAAGAAGTGGAAGTGCGACGAGGATATAGAGGACGAACCGGCGACGGACCCGTCAAATAGCATCGGGACGGTATGGCAAGACTTTACCTTGCCCACGCGACTGCCAAAGTACCAAACGCCAATAGACCCAGTCACCAAGTTGTTTCTGAAAATGACGTCCAAAGATAGATGGAGAAGAAGGCCGGCCGACAAATGCACCAAACCTTACTAGGCGCGGTAGCAAGAGCCGATGTCACGTTCCTCATCGTAACTAACCTGCGATTTAGCTTGTTGGTCGGTGCTCTACCAGACATCGTACTGACCACTCGTTCCACTGCCAGCCGATAAACTGTGCCACAATGCTACGGATTAACGAGTTCGTAATTTACTGTATAGTTATATTGGACCGGTCTTATGCGCAAGATACATTTTTTTATATAACTATTGCAAACAGCAAGTATAAAAAAGTTTTCAAACACTTTTTACTTCTGTTTGTGTATAATATCTAAAACTATGTAAAATAACACTTGCATATAGCTATATATACCTATACATAGTAGGGGAGAGTGGGGCAGATTTGAATGAAATTTACATTTTATTTTTTTAATTTTTATTTTTTTGACAAATTTTATATTTGATAATTACAATCTGTAGTCTAGATAGTTGTGAATACTATTTGACTTATAACAACCTTATATATTAAATAACCAATTTAATTTCTAATTATGAAGTGAAGTATATTTTTATTCAAATGTACCCCACCCATGGGGTACATTTGAACGTGCAGGGGGTAGATTTGAATATGTGTCTTAAAAGCCACATTTGAATGTTAAATATTAAATTAAATTAAACTTTTTATTATTTTAATAATAAAAATAGCTCAATATAATATAATAACAATTTTTTACAATTATGTTTAGATGTTTTCTTGTCAATTTTTTTTTTATTGTGAAAATGTAGTATTTTTGGGTTTTCTTATAGATAAATCCACATCTTGTGACATAAATCCAGTTAACTAGTATATTCCATCCATAAGATAGATATTTTAAAAAGGAGGAACCTTTATTACACCCTATTATCTACCCTATTGATGAAGATTCAAATCTACCCCATGCCAAAATAATCAATAATAATCGTAATATAAATTTTAATAATTATAAATAATGTATGTACATTAAATGTATTACTAGGCAACAATATTTTGAATAGGTATATTTAATTCTAAACTTATTATTTTGAATTTTAGTTTCCAAAATGTTCTTATGGAAACACCTATTTTTTTTTTTAAAAAAGCCGGAAAATCACATTATCATTTTTATTTATCACAAAATTATTCAAAAATGCCTGATAATCACATATGGTATACAAAATATTGTCACCAACTTAGATTATTATTTTTATGAATGTAAATAATCTGTAACAAATTATATTAGACAAATTCAAATGTACCCCGCATTCAAATCTGCCCCACTCTCCCCTATATATTATTATATTTATATTTATAAGGTACATAATGCACGTCATTGTAAATAAACGTTTTAGAAACTAATATCATAAGAACGTTATGATGAGGAACGCAACATCCACCGCTGCGGTGCCATAAAAGCTTTGGAGCATCTGTCGGTGGATAAGGTCCTCAATCTGTGGCCGTAGGTCGGCTGGCCTTGGAACGAGTGGTCAGTACGACGTCTGGTTGAGCACCGTCCAACAAGCTAAATGGCAGGTTAGTTACGATGAGGAACGTGACATCGGCTCTTGCTGCAGCGCCTATTAAGATTTGGTGCATTCGTCAGAGGGCCTTCTTCTCCATCTATCGTTGCCCGTTGGACGTCATTTTCAGAAGCAACTTGGTGACTGGGTCTATGGGCGTTTGGTACTTTTGCAGTCGCGTGGGCAAGGTGAAGTCTTGCCATACGGGTCCGTCGCCGGTTCGTCCTCTATCTCCTCGTCGCACTTCCACTTCTTAGTCGTGCACGTCTTGCTGTCGGTGGAAGTCAGTCGTGGTTGGGTTCGGGTCCGGGGCGTGAACGGCACTAACGGCGTCATTTTAAGGTTAGGGTCCGCCGTCTGATCACCTACCCGGGTTATTGTCGCCACTGACCTCCTGGTACGTACCGCAGATGGTTGACGAAGTAGAAGTCGGCCGATGAGCAGTTGCTGTCGAAGCCTTAAAATAATAATAATAAAAAAAAAAAAATGTTGTTGAATTTCTGCTGCTTGATGATCGTCATTTCATTAAAGGCATAATATTATAATATTAATATACAGTACTCAAATACTGTGGTCCATGTTTAAAATATAACAAATAATATTATAACTATTAAGAACTGTGGTATAAAATAAACTATAAAATATACAAGTTACAATGTGTTTATTACAAATACAATTTATTAATTTAATTTACATAGGTATAATATAGTATTATATTTAATACCTACTCATTTTTGAGTTGTGTCACTATTCTTTCAACAGGCAATATACACAAAAATTATTATTTCAGTCACGAACAGTTATATAAGTCAAAATGTTTTCAAGTATTTGTTAATGACATTAATAATAATTAATCAATTTACAACATTTACCAAGCATATATTTTAATAAAAATTTAATTTAACATATCTATTCAAAACCACATAAAAATATAATAAAAATTTGATCTGTAATGTATTTTTGAGTAACCTTAAGTAGGTAGCTGATTACCAACGGTTGCGTTTTTTGAGTTGTGTCACTATTCTTTCAGTAATGCGATTTATTCTTTTAATATTTAAATTATTTTTTGAGCAACTGATTGATGGTGGAATACATTTTTATCACTGAGGTAAAATTAATAACAGTAATTATCTCAAATGCATCATTTTTATTTTGTCAGCATTTTGATATTGAAGATTTTTGGTTTTAAAAAATACGTCTTAGATGGAGAATGACTGTTAGAAAATCTTCGATTTCATGTTTTTGGTGATTTAAAAATATACATTACCTATAGTCCAGGCAAATTAGACTCATTTTTGACAAATAGCGGAAAAAAAAAGCAGGAAAGCTGAATTTTGGTATACATCTTTATTGAAGGGTACTAAGTAACATACTAAAAGTCCCCTAAGATTTGATGACCGCTACCTCCGCTATAGCGCGCTTTGTGCAAGAAAAATCAGTTTTTCTCAAATAACTCGGTTGTTATTAAGATTATAAGAAAAATACCTATATACTATATTATAGAAGAGGTAATTAACTATAAAAAATGTACTTACAATATATTTCGTGGGATCAATATTTACCTTGATAATCGGACATCAAATATTATACAATTGGTAATTTCTGTCTTATGGCGTCCGTAATAATTGTGACTAACACAGTTTTTTTTTTGTATTAATTTTATATAAATGAGCGGTTTATTGTTTTATAATTTATTATCTAAACATAAAATAACTATTACATATAGAGGTAACCGGTAGGTATATACAGTAGAACTCCGATTATCCGGACTAATTATAATGTCAATAAGGGTGGTCCGGATAAGCAAATATCCGGATGATTGACATATGATATATCAAAAGTTATATACACACGTAACCATAAATAAATATTTAATTTTATTAGATATTCAACTGAAACAAAATAAGCTTTAATTAAAGTACATACGTGACATAATTTAAAATCGATAATTTTTAATATACCTACGTTGGAATGACGGATATTATTAAGGATAATATATAATATGTAGTACCTACCTATTCTTTATCTAATCTAAAAACGATTATGAAACACGTGTATGAATAACGGCACGTGCCGTATTTTTCTCGTCCGGTTAATTGGACGTCCGGATGATTGGCGTTCGGATAATTGGAGTTCTACTCTTCTACTGTAATAATAAAAATTAATATTGGTTAATATCGCGATGACCCAATTTCGGTTACTGCTTGACAAACAAAATATTATTTATTTATTAATTTAAACAAAACTTTATTTATAACATAATTATCTTAATTTTTTTTATGTAATTTTAGTCGTTGTTGAAGGTTGAACACTAGTAGTAGGTGTATCATCATCACTGCAATGTACCTATTTGAATAACACGACATCGAAATAATTTATATAGAAAAATAATCTAGAAATTACCAATTCTATAATATTTGATGTCTGATTATCAAGGTAAATATTGATCCCACGAAATATATTGTAGGTACATTTTTTATAGGTAATTACCTCTTCTATAATATAGTATATAGGTATTTTTCTTATAATCTTAATAACAACCGAGTTATTTGAGAAAAACTGATTTTTCTTGCACACAGCGCGCTCTAGCGGAGGTAGCGGTCATCAAATCTTAGGGGACTTTTAGTATGTTACTTAGTACCCTTCAATAAAGGTGTATACCAAAATTCAGCTTTCCTGCTTTTTTTCCCGCTATTTTATTTAATTTGCATGGACTACTAGCCAAAAATGTAAAATTGTCAAATATTAATGAGTCAGTAGTTGGTACAATAAAATCAACATAGATACCTAGGCCAATTTGATAAATAAATGCATTGAAATGAAATTATTATTCTTATGATATGTTTTGTGCACAGTATCAATTAATATAGTTATAAGTAAATTAAGTTTTATTTTGCCTATTTTGCATATATTAATTGTGTTTTTCTATTTTCTTGGGCATATTTAGTGTATTTTTGACCATAATTTGATAAAAAATGCAATCATTTTTATTTTTAAAAAAAGTGGGTAAAGGGACTCTGCCACTCCGCTGTACAGTAGGGTACAATGTGGTCACTGTATAATGGATCATGGTATTAAATTTGAATTCAATGATATATCATTGTATACGAAAACGATTCTGAGTGGAGACGGTTTGTCAGTGAGGATATTTTATAGTATATTGATATTGTCATTACTTATTAATGATTATTAATAGGGTACCCGGTAAGTTGAAATGTTGAATTAATATTATGAATTAACTAAAATTGTTATTCTTGGTTATTTAATATGTAATTTCAGTCCAAATTCGAACATAAAATAATTATAAAAAAAAAATTGTTTTTTTATATTATTGCGATATTTAGGTTACAGAATAATGTACTTACATGGAACCTTGTTTTAAATTTTCAATCCAAAGCTATAAAGAGTTCAACATTTTTGACTATAAAATCATTTTAGATTCATTGTTCCGATGAATGTATTGATTTTGTTTTTTTTTTTTTGAAAAAAAATATCAAAAAGAGTCAAAAAGGTTATTCATTG